GAGCCCCAGCTAGGGCCCAAGTGCCAAAGTCCACGCGAGCCCCCGCCTCTCAATTCGCGTCGCGTGCTTCGCGGCCCCACGGGGAGCCCCTGACCAAGGCCCAACTGCCAAAGATCACATTAACCCCAGCCCCTCATTGCGGCGCACCTCCCGCGCGCTTCGCGGCCCCATAGGGAGCCCGAACTGAACTAACTCCCACGTGCCAGGGTCCGCGTGGGACCCTCGTCGCAGGGGCCCCCGTGCGCTGCGCCTCCAACAGTGGTCATGGCGCCCTGGTGCGGTTGCGATAACTGCATATCTTGTGGGCGCCTGAAAGATAGCGCTCTGCGAGCATCCGCCCACTCCCCAGATCGCGCGCCCATCCCGCCGTGCCCCTGTTCGCCTCTGCCCATCCTCTCCGCGCCCGAATCCTCGCTGCTCGCCCCTCCCCTTTGTGCTCGTAACTGCGCGCGGTTTGGCCATTTGCCGGGGCATGTCTCACAGTTCTCAAAGAACAAAAGCAGCACGAAAGAAAGGCGCAAGACGGCCCTGCCATCTCCACGGCCCGCTCAGGCCCCCGAGAGGCTCACGCATAGCCACTCGACAGAACTCCAGGAAGCTTCAATGTGGGACACTCTTCGACCACTTCGTGCCTCATGGGTCCCAAGGTCCGAAGAGGCGCTCAGCTGGCCGCTCTTCGGCGAACCCTGGCTTTGACGCACCACTCAGGCACTTCGTGCCACGCGAACCTTCAGCGGCGCTCAGCTAGTTTCTCACGGCGGCCCCCGAAAGATTCAACTCGGCACGCGCACCTCGCGAACTTCACGGCCCCGCGACGCCCAATCTGATCTCGCCTCGTTTCTCAGGTCGGCAGTCCGGTCGAGTCAATGCTCGGACCAGAATCGGGCGCGGCTGCGTCGAACCTCAAGCATCACTGTTGGGGCCCGAGTGAAGAGCCCTCGGCATCTTCTTCGTGCTCGAGAAGTCACTGTCTACGCCCATGCCACACCATCCGGTCTCAAATTACTCCTTCGCGAAATTGCGCATCTATTCGCCCCGTCTCGCAGCGGGCCGTCCGCGTGACCGCCCAGCCCCAGGACGCGCTGCAGATGGGCGACAGCTGCCCGCCGTCGCGCCGACTCGATGAGCCGGCCTGCGCTGCCGTCGTAGCACGTGGGCGCTCCAGCTTTCCAATGGATAGGATGTTAGGGCTGCGCGCACTTCCAGTCTGATCCTCTGCATAGCGTCGCCCCACGGCTCGTCTTCCAGGCGAATCCAACTAACGATTGTTCGACGCATCCTCCGTTGAACCGCATCTAATGAGCTCAACCGTGACAGCGCCATTGCACGAGACGAGAGGCCAAACAGCATCGTTGGAGTAGTATTGCGCTGACGAGCTCTGTTCGTGAGTATCTGTCCATCTGCTCGTCCATTGAGATGTCGCGATGCATGCGGAATATCATCTATGCTGCTCGAACCCAATGCCCAACCTCAAAAGAACTCTTCGGGCGCGCGTTGCCGCGCGACGTCCCCCCCAAATATTTGCGGGCCACGTCGCCGTTCAGGCCGTCCACGGGCTCGCCTCCAACGTCCAGCGAACGCGCGATCATGTCGCGCTCCGTCGTGGAAGCCTCGGTCTCTCCGGCCTCCATGCTGAAACCTACCCTGGCAATGTCCTCTTTGACCGCCGCGGCCGCTGCGATGGGGCCCGCTCGCGGCGCAGCGAAAATCACCGCGCCGTCCGCGCTTCTGATCTCTGCCAAGGCGCCCCCATCATCAACTCGAGCGCTTCTTCCAATTATCTGGCCCATCCATGTGCGAAGTGCTGCTCGACCACCGCGCTGACGCGCAATGGGCTCAGGGGGCCGCCATGTTTGGCGTCTCTCTGTATCTCGAAACACAGGATGCGCGAACTCGCCCGCGTTGGTTTACATAGATGGCCGGCAACATTGCGACGTGCTATTGTTCAACGCCGTGGCTCTGGAGAGAGTCAAGCAGCGGTCGGGGCTCAATTCGATCGAGAGCCTTGCCGAGGTCCAGGCATCGACTCCGCATGGGCGCATGCAAGTCCAACCGCTTGCCGCGCGAAGTTTCGGACGCAGTGAAACATCGCTCGCCGACCGTTTAGTTCGAAATCCAAATTGGTCGTCCGATTGTTGGGCGCCCAACGCGCCGCGATGGCGGCAGCGCTGTCGACGCGCGAAAAGTCCGCGCGATATCTTTAATATTGCGATGGGCCTCCGTTTCTGCGGAAGGCCCAGGTCGCCAGCCTTCGGTAGCATCGGAAACGCCGTCTCTCTCCAGGTTGGGCCAATTGCGCCCTCATCCAACATCATATTGAACATGCCAAGTAGAAGCAGCATAAACTTAAGATAGTGCGATTTGAACATGCTCACCGCAATCCCAAACTCATCTGAATCCCCGGAGTTTCATCGATCCCAGGGCACGCCGAAGCTCCCAAATGGTGAATGGGCGCGCCAGCGTAGAGCACCCGTTCAATATAGACTGCAGAAACGCAGAAGCTGACCCAGAGGAATGCGCCCATCCAATCTCGAACATCCCTTCCGAGTAGCAGCGCAAGCATATTGCCCCGCTTCCGCGCCCCATCCAGGTTCACGAGGACATGCTGGTAGTCTCCTTGCGTCGTAGATCCACTGGAGCTCGATTAACTCATCCAAGATTGTTGGGAAACGTGCATATATATATATATATACATATATATATATATATACGTGCTGGGCCCCTTGCGGATCTGATTTCGCATTGCGTTCTAAAGCACTCCGCGCCGATGGGGGCCCCATGCATGACGCCTCTGTTGATGCAGATCCTGAAAAAGATGAGCACCGCGGATGGTCGTTGAACCGTCGTCGCTTGCTGTGCGCCCCCCCCCGTGAGTTGCCGCTGCGTCGAGCATTGCCGCTTCGGCCTCAAATGGCGATGACGAAATCTGATCTTCTCTTCTCGCCCGACGCCTTCTGGATAGCATTTTCAAGGAGTCCACCCTCGCATCGATGACCTTGGCCCCGTGGTTCGTCGGCGCAGGCCCCGCCCCCCCAGCGACGAGCTCCACGAACGCCGCGCGGCGATCTGACCCCGAGGTTGCATTTCCGGACGCGTTTCAAGGCGACGCGCGCATGCGCGAAGGCGGGCGCGCGAAGCCAATCCTCCACGATGGTCCCAAACTACCTTGAAGGTCCAGCTGCGCAAATCGGGGCCGTTTCCATCACCATCTTCTGACCGCGAACTCCACGTCCCCATTGCGAATTGACATCGCCCCTACACGAGCAGCGTTGCCATCGCGAACTGATTGCGTCAATGTCTGATGCACCTGCTCGCGCACTTGGTCCAACGCTTTAGCCGGATATCCCGCATGAGGGAGGTGCACAATACCAAAAATAATCTTCCGTTGCGCAAGCTGCATATCAACGCGAAGCACTCCATCGGACACAAAACGTGTCGACCGAATGCTGCCAGCCAGCCGTGCATGTATCAGTACACCCACTCCCCGCGCAGAGTAGCCTTCGCGGTGAAGATATAAACGACGCCCGCCCTTCAACTTCATTGCTTGACTTCCCGCGCGAGCTTCACTGAACATCATAACGTCCGACTCCAAAATGGTTATCTCAACCCGTCTCTGCGGGCCATTGCGCCGCGCATTCTCGCAGAACGCATGCAGTGCCTCATCCCGTGGACGGGGCGAAACTTGACTCGATCGGCGCTGTCCCTACTCTGGGCCCTCGGCCCGTCCTGCAGTGCTCTTGCCCTTTCCATTGCCCTTTGGCTTTCTGCGGCAGGGGCCTTCTCTCCAACCTCTCCTTATACATGCTCACCATCTCCACAAACTTCGCACGCAGATGGAATCACCCCAACCTCCCCCGAAATTTGCGATGAGATCGGTACCGTCCACTCCCGTGATGACGGCTGCCTCCCGGCCGACGTACACTTTTTAACGGGAGGTCAACCCAAACGCACTTCCTATCGTAGTCTCATTCAACCAAAAAACGTTTGAGAGCAAACCAGAAACATTGTGGGATGTATTATCCTGGAGGCGCGTCTGGAATAATGTTGACGTTGTTATACCCGAATTAGACCGAATTCCCTCTCACTGCCGTAATTCCGTGTTCCTTCTCATAATCCGCGCGGAGCTTGGGGAACAGGATGCCGGTGATCTCCCCATTGGAATACAACTCACTAAGCACAGGCCCCCCAAACATCAAACATGTCATTTAAAATCCACTCCTTTGCCTCCTCCTGCTGCAAGCCGGCGAGTCTACTGGCCATTGCAAGGACTTTTCGCTCATCCGTGGGTGTAGTTCTCGGGGTGCTGTTCCACGATGGTGGGGCGGTGCGGGTCCCATCGAAGTGAATTTTCATGTGCTCCCATTGCTCGCTCAACTTGTGAATCTTGTTGTCATTATCCTGGATAGTCCCGGTGATGTCCTCGGAAGCGCCAGACTGCTCAAACGCGTCCATGCGCATTCTCATCTCGTCCATACTGTTCTGCATCTTCAGCTCCACCGTGACCATCCGATGTCGGTGATCGCCCTGGCGGTGATGGAACGTTCCTCTGCCAATGCCTCCAGTAGATATCTGCACCTCCACCGCACGTGGCGGGGAGAGATCCAGGCCGTCCATTCGTTAAGTGAACTGATAAGAAGTTGTCGTACGTCACGTTCGCCCAACACTTCACGCACAGGGTGTCTGGCTGCCGCGTGCTCGTCGGCTTGCTCGGAGCGGAGTGTTGTAAACAAAACTGTTTGGCACAGCTGTTTGGAACAGCGGAGTGTGTTAGATAAAACTGTTCGGCTCAGCTCTAGGGATGAGCCAGACAGATCAACTTGAGCCTTGAGCCATTTTGGCTCCCTTTTGCACACTTCGTACCACATCGGCCTACAGAGGCGTTCAGCTGGCCCCCAAAACGGCTCAAGGGAGCCTCAACTCGGCAATCCCCTAACGTATTTCTCGCCCCAAATCCCCCAAAAGGCCGACAGGGCGCTTTCAAGACGGGTTGGTCCCCTAAAGGGCGTCAAGATCGCCACCCAAAGCAAACTTGCATCGGTTGGCACCGACGCTCGTCGAAACCGTGCCACCGTACAACCACTGATTGCGTGATTTGCATCCTTTTCCCCTTGGGGGGCCCGCTGTGACTCCCGCTATGCGGGCTCCATAATACAGGATGCCGCGATGATTGGCGACCGGCATTGGTACAAACACAAAACAAACCTCCTCTGAATGTCCAAGCACAGGTTGCACATGCCTGAAACAACCGTATACATGCCATCGCGAGCTCACTCATTGGCCAGAACCAGAAGAAGGTAGACTGAGACAGATGGAGAATGACGGCATGCGGGTGCGCCTTTTCATGGCAACAACGGGTATTAGCCCCCGCCCGACCAACGGACTGATAGATGCAAGAAGCAGCAGAGAGGAGGATGCGAAAGCATGACACACGAGGTAGCGTGTAATGGCTGCGACAGGGACTACGAGATGGAAGAATCAACTAATGACCTGAACGTCATTGCATGTTTCTCACCTGGAAGACAAGGACAACACCGTGCTGGGGCGCATGTGACTTTGGCAGCCGCGGAGGAGTGCCTGCACCTAAGGACACACGTCCCTGTTGCAGCAACACTGCCATGTGCATCATGCAGTGTTCAGAAGCTCCACCACTTGAAATTAGATGTCCCCTAAGATGTGTGGAAGAGCGAGGCGAGGACAGGGACACGGAGGACTAGGAGGGCTGGGACGAGGAGGAGATAGGAGGAGGCAGGGGAACTCGAGGAGAAAGATTGGGGAATCTGATATGACAAGAGGAGGGAGAAGAGGGCGAAGGGGGATGCGATAAGTGGCAGGGGGAAGACTGGGAGAAAGCAGGGATGAGCGGGAAGGAACTCAACCAGCCCGAAAGGCGTAGGTGGTCTACAGCGGCTCATCTTCCAACGCCCCTCTTCCCTTCGGGGAGGGGTTCACCACTCCCCGCGACCCCCTCCCCTGGACCTGGAGGGGGGTGATCGCGGGCAGTTGGAGCGCCCAAGATGGCCCAATATGGCTCCAAGAGGCCCTCAGAGAGCCGAAGGTGGCCTCCAAGATGGCTCAAGATGGCCCAAGATGCCTCAAACTTTCTCCCAAGATGCTCCAAGAAGCCCCAAGACCGCTCCAAGACGGCTCCGAGTAATCACGGAGCGCCCCCAGGAGGCCGCCAAGCGGCCGACATCATGCAAACACCACAAGCAAATCAATGAAGGTTGCCTTCTCGCCTTTTTGCTGTCCACTGCCTCCCGAGGCATCAATATGGCTCCAAGCGGGCCCAAGAGGGGCCCAAGAGAGCCCCAAGACTGCCCTCAGAGTGCCCAAGAGCGCCCCAAGAGCGCCTCAAGAGGGGCCCACGAGGCGATTTCTGGGGTCCGTGAGGAGGGACGCGAATTAGAGTCCCCATCTTGTTTGGTCGATCTCCTCCAATATGGCCCGAAGAGCGCTCCCAAGGCACCCCAGAACGCCTCAAGAGGGCCCCAATAGGCGCCCAGGAGGCCCCAAGAGGCTTCCAAGAGGCCTCCAAGAGGTTCCCAAGAGACCCCTAAGACGCCTCAAGAGGATCCCCGAGGTACCCAAGACACTCCAAGAGGCCTCCTGGGCGCCTCGCCTGGGCATCGTTTCTGGATGGGCTGGTGGGGTTACGCGACGCGTCTCGAATTTGAGAGCAGGGAAGGAGGCGGAGGGATAATCGTTAGAAGCTGCAATGTACACATAACCGCCGACTACAAAGAACTTCAACTACGAACGGTGTTGAACAATCAGCAACTTTACAAACACCGCGTTGCATGCTCGCGTCAGACATACACGCGCGTGTCGATATACACACATATACTTAGGTATCGACATATATACACATATACACAAACATACACACACCTATACATGTATACACAGACAGACATTCATAATAGAGCCATCGCGCGAGCTTCGCGCGCGCTCAAGTTCTAGCTAGGCTTGATAGGCTAACTCATGTGATATCATGTTGGTCGCTTCTTGCGTCCAAGGACTCCCTTGGAGGCCCGGCGCAAGCCTCGGAATCATGTAGAAGGGGAAGTGCGGAAACGCAGAAATTATCAATTCCCTTTACGTATTCAACGATTTGGGGCCCTCAAAAGCTTCCTGGGTTCTTTTTGGGGAGGTGAGGGGGGTCTGAATTGTGGTTTGTTGTGCAAGAGTAGACCGGGGGCCAAACTTGAAAAAAAAAGAATTATGGGATTTCCATGTTTGTTCGGCGCTGTTTTTTGTTTGTGCCTCGCGGGTGTTGTTAGCCGCGCCAGACCCCCTGGGGGTTTGGGAGGCCTCCTGCTGGAGGCCTGGAGAGCCGTCGGAAAGGTTTCTCGGGCGGCGCGGGAAGATGTTGGGCCGTTCTTTCCGTTCTCTGGGGGCTCCTTGGGGTCGTCATGGGCTGTCCTTCGGCGTCTTGGGTTCTCCCCCCGGGAAGCCGGGAGGCGCGGTACCGGCCAGCTGTCAGGGGATGTGTAGGATGCCCGAGTAGGAGTCCCACTTTGAAAAAAATTGGATTCTGGGAATTCCCTTTTTTAAAAACTCGATCTTCGAGGGTTGGAAGCGGGACAACGTGAGAAGGCGAAAAAACATCAGAAAAACCATGTGAAATCAACGATGTTACCCTCTTTGGGCTCTCTCGGGACGGCTCTCGCAGCTCTCTTGGGCTGTTCTTGGAGCCTCGTCGGGGTCTTTTTGGAGCCTCTCAGGGATCGGGGTTGTGTTGGGGGCCTCTGGGTGGTCCTGGAGGCCTCTCGGAGGTCTCTGGAAGCCTCCTGCTCCCGCTCTTGGGCCTATCTTGGGCCTGTTCTGGGGTGGTCTGGGGCTGTCCTGGGCGCCTCTTCGGCAATCTTGGAGCCTTCTTGGCCCGTCTTGGGGCCGTCCTGAGGGTCTCTTGGGTGGTCATGGGGCGGTCTTGGGAGCCTCTTCGGCGCTCTTGGACCGTTGGAAGCTCGGAAACGCGAGAAGCCAAAAAACATTACAAATTCGCCGGCCCAACGGGCCAGAGGCGTGCTAAGATCTCCGGTAACTGGTTAAGAATTCTCTAGTTCGCGCGCGCGGGGCGGCCCCTGGGGGTCCCCGGACGAAAAGTACCCCGGCAAGGTCCTGAGAGAGTCCTGGGAGGAGTCCCCCAGAGCGCTCCAGGAGCGCTCCATGAGCGCACCAACAGGGCTCCGAGACGTCCCCGAGAGCCCCAAGAAAGGCCAAGAGGCCCCCAAGAGGCCCCCAAGATGGTACACGAGGGGTCCGACATGCCACAAGATCGCTCCAAGACGCCCAAGATAGCCCCCAGACGCCCCAAGAGGCCTCCAAGAGCACTCCCAAGAGGGCCCCCGGAGGCAAAATTCATTGTTTTTCCTTAGGTTTTTGAGAGATTTTGGAGCTTCCACCTTTTCGGTTCCCGACGCCCCAAGACGGCCCCAGAGGCCCCCAAGATCGCCCCAAGAGGGCCCAAGAGGCCCCCAAGAGGGCCCCAAGATGGCCCAAGAGGGCTCGAAGACGGCCCAAGAAGCCTCCAAGACGGTCCAAGAGGGCCCCAAGAACACCCCCAAAGGGGCCCCAGAGAGGGAACACGACACAAAATTTCGCGCCCTCGGCCCTAAGAAGCCCCTACGAGGCCCCAAGAGGCCCCTAAGAGGCCCCAAGAGGCCCCCACGAGGCCCTCAGGAGGCCCCCAAGAGTCCCCCAAGCGGCCCCAGGAGGCCCCCCAAATGCCCCCCCGAGCGCCCCAGGAGTCCCCCAAGCGGCCCCAGGAACCCCCAAAGCGCCGCATTGACACCAGGCCCTCGGGCAAACGGCAGACATGAGACCGTATGGGCCGGCGGAATGAGCGAAGCGATTCAATAAACAATGAACATCTACGATGTTGGCCTCTTCGGGTCGTCCCGGGGAGCCTCTCGGACCTCTTGGGGTCTCTTCGAAATTACCTGGGAGCCTCGAGAGCCGTCGGAAGGCTGACTTGGGCTGCTTGGGAGCGTCTTGGACCATCCTTTCGCATTCTGGGGGCTCCTGGGAGTCGTCTTGGACCCTCCTGGAGCGCTGTGGAAGCTCCCCTGAATGCCCGGGGGAGCGGTACCGGGAGCGTTCCCGAGATGCCACGGGGAGGTGCAGTGGCACCCGGGGCCGGGGGGGGCGGTATCTATTTGTATTATATACTACAAAAAATCATCACACCCATACATCTATGGAATACTGGTCCCACGCACGCGCACTAATACGGATCGGTGTCGGCGCAAGCGCTCTGTAAAAGAAGGTCGCAGGGGTACTGCGACTGGGCCCTTCCGAACGCGCGTGCAGGAACGCATTCGAGCTGTAATTCGTGCCCGTGGCCGAAGCAAACATTATCATGGGTTCGTGAGCTTGCAAGCCCGGACGCTGCAGCAAAGTGTGTTTGTAGAGGCCCCGACTTGTGGCCTGGAGAGGCCTGTCCAAAGAATAATCGGAACGCCCGCATCCGAAATGCCTGGCATGACGCCAATGTTGAAATGTGTGTTCGCTTTGAACGCTGCGTTTGGCCCCTTCAAGGAGAATCGTCCAACGCAGCGGCCAGCGGTACGATGCCCGCGACGCCAACCTGGCCACAAAAAACAACCACCACCTCGGCGCTGTCGAAAATGGGCCGACGACGTCGACCTCTGGCCGCGTTCACGAATCCAGCCGCGGCGACGAGCCCGTGCAATGTGGGCTACCCCCCAAAAAAGGTCGGAGATGTTTCGTAGATGGTTCGTAGATGGTTCGTAGATGTTCTGTAGATGTCTTCGCCCCCCGGAATGTTTCGTAGATGTTCTGGGTTTTTTCGTCCCCCAAAGATATGTCGCAGATGTTTCGTAAATGTTTCGTAGATGTGTTCGCCCCCCGGGGATGTTTCGTAGATGGTATGTAGATGTTTTCGCCCTCGCAGAAGTGTGTCCTAGAAATGTCGTGAATGTTCTGTAGATGTTTCCACCCCTGGGGATTAATATGGACATGTACCAAACATGTGTTCACCCGTTGTCGGGCAAGTTCGGCCCGCGAACGGAACCGGGCTCGCGTGACCACATCGGCTTTGCATTGTAATTTACGGCACATCTGGCGAAATCGCTCCGTGAATGGAAACGGGTCCGCGCGACTGCGGCTTCGGTCGTCGAGACCGCATCGTTTTCGATTCCGCGGAAATGCGTCGTAGATGTTTCGTAAACGTTTCGTAGATATTATGTAGATGTTTGCGTCTCCCGGAGATGTTTCGCAGATGTTTCCCCCTGGAAATGTTCCGTATATGTTAAGTAGATGTTTTCGCCCCCCCGGAAATGTTCCGTAGACGTTTCGTAGATGTTCTGTCCATGTGCTCGCACCACCAGAAATGTTTCGAAGGCGGTCTGGAGATGTTCCGGAAATGTAATGCCGCGTGCGCGACGACGCCCGCCAGGTCCTGCAGCGGGCCTAACTTGCCTCCCTCATCCCTCCTGCCCCGTCCTTCCCCCCCTCCCTCCCTCCTCCCTCCTGCAATTCACTAGCAGACGAGGTCCCCGCTTGATGCTTCCCCATTTGCGGGCCTCAGGGGCCCAAGGCTCACGACAATTACAGTTTTTCCGATGACCTGTTCGGATTGCTAACGTGAGCTGCGGGCCACTATGGGGAGGGGGCCCCCGCCTGAGACGCCCTCGCAATTCTCTCCATATGAAGGCCTTAGGAGCCCAAGAGCGTCGACAGTTACATGGTTCCGCTGGCCCGCTCGGATTACTAACATGAAGTGCGGGCCCCATAGGGAAGCCCCCCCCCGCCTGAGACTCCCTCACAATGCGCTCACAGACGAGGCTCCCGCCCGAGACGACACAGGCAAACGATGATGCTGATGAGGATGATGTAGATGTGAGTGATGCTGCTGAGGATGAGGCAGGCGGTGACGATGGTGCGTGAATGATTGAGTGCAAGAGGGAGCCATTCATGAGAAATGATTGAGCGAGTTGGAAAGTGAGTATGTGATGCGCGAGTGAGAGTGATCGCGGGAGGGCGCGATGGTGATGTGAATGCGCGGGTGTGCAAGTGAGAAAAGGCCAGAGAGACCGCCATCAAGAGAGACCGTCACCACGGTCTCTCTCGCAGTGTGAGTAAGTTATGAGTGAATGAGGGTCATCGAGTGAGTGTTGGTGAGTGAGTGGGCGGCGATGAGGCTTGATGGCATTGATGGAGTAGTGGTAGTGAGGATGAGTATTATGATGAGTGATGGTGATCTTGTTGTTGATGATGATGGCTATCATAGGAGGAGTGGGTTTGAAGAGGAGGCGGCGTGGGGAGACTGCGCGGGGTGCCCAGAGAAAACATGGACCCCGCTTGGGATGCTGTAAACAAGAAGACGGTACAAGCCATCAAAGTCAAGGATATGCCTGCAGGCTACGACTGGTGCTCACAATTCCCGAAAGGGATAAAGAGCATTCGCATTGACGCCTCATGGGAAGACCCGGCACCCGTGCCACTCTGGGAAAGCAAGCGGACACGCCCGAAGCGCGAGGAGACGCTAATCATGCGAGATGGTTGTTCTCCCCCATCCCCGATCTCTGGGCTGCCGCGTGAATGGTTGTCGAATGCCGAACCGACTTGCCCGAGTGAGGTGCGGATTAATCAACGAGAAAAGCAGAAAGTTGGCGAGGTGGCAGGAAGCATAGCCAAAAATATACCGAAGAAGGCCGAGGAAGGAGACGATGATTGTGGCGAAAGCCTACCAGGTCTTAGTTGCAACACATACTGCAGCACCGATGTGCCATGCGATTCGGACTCAGACCCCGACGTGGAGCAAGTTTTCTGGATGCTGAAAGCGGCCGCGCCATTAGCGGACACGCGCGTCAACGTCGCCAACATCATTCCGACATCATGTTATGGACAATGCAACGGTATCGATATGCTGGAGTTCTGCGGTGGAACCGGAGGCATTTCTCAACGTGCTTTCAAACGCCGTCTTTCATAGCGGAACTGGCGTTGATCTGGGAAACTGGAAGGTACGACCGCCTATACTACAATATTTACGTACATGTAAGGTTGGATTGGTCCTCTTACAACCAGCTTGGCGTACCATCGGACTACCATCATATTTCAACTTTATGATCAACTACGACACATGGTGGAAACACCATCAGGAATATGTGCCACATGTTACCTTCTTGCGGCACCGTTACCAAAACTCAAAACGACTTGCACATCTCCTGGATGCGTGAATGACCCACAGGAACTTGGATTGATGAGATATCTGTCTGGCGCACGCTGCAGGAACGCGCGTTATTTCAATAGATCAATGCGCCGCGGGGTTAAAGGACTCACATGGCACCCTCATTAGGAAGCCTGCACACATTATGCGCAATCGTCCTGATCCCCCGACCCCCGCCCATGGCGCGGGGCGCAGCCGTCGCCGCGAACGCGCAAAGGCGTGCAATGAGGAGCCTGCTGCAGCACAACAGCACGCGCATGAATTTCCAATCGCTCTTCGTGGATGCTGCCCGTATCACGAAGCAGCTCCTGGAATCACCTGTCGACCCATTGAACAAGTGGAAGCGCACTCCAGCACTTGCGGTCAACAGTGCAGGTTTTGACTTTGACGCCGAGGACATGCCGCGTGGCCCCTCGGGTAGGAGGAGGAGGAAGAGGAGGGAGGAGGAGGAGGAGGGGGCATAGTGGAGGAGGAGGAGGAGGGGGAGGAAGAGGAGGAGGAGGAGGAGGAGGAGGAGGAGGAGGAGGAGCCAGGTCGCCACGGGCGGCCCAGGGCGCCCGTGCCTGCGCGGGCAGCGTCCGAAAGGCTGCGCCCGACCACACGAGACTCGCGCAGGTGTCGATGGTACGACGTGGGCCCAACTTGGAGCCTCTCTGGCCACGGCGGGCCTCGGCCACGACTGGCCTGCCCAACGCAGATCCAAAGGAACGGCCCGAAGACGAGCGCCCCTCCCGAACCCGAGGTGGTCTTGCTAGTTTAGCGACTGCACTGTACTGGAGGCCAGGTTCCCTCTTGGAGCGCGCCCCAGACGTAGGAGTGCGAAATCTTCGAGAGGAGCCATGGTTCGAATGAGGCAGGGCACGCGAAGATGCTTGCCGAGTCCAGGTTCGCATAAACCTTACGACCTGCCCCCTGCTCCACATCAGCCTCCAGCTGGCGCCCCACGACCAGTTGCGGAAACGCCGGCCCCGCCAGCAGCCCCGCCAGCAGAACCCGAAACGCAAGCGGACACGCCGCGACAAGGCAGGCGGCTTGCAGCTCGTGTAAACCCCGACTATTTTACACCTCGCCCGCGCTTTTCTGCAGATGTCACGCGGGGTGCTGGGGGTCACCGCGCGACGATGGAAATTCACGCTGGCGGGGATGGGGGAGGAGGAGGCGCGGGGGACTCTGATGACCGCGAGAGTCCACGGCCAGCAGAGGGGGCTCACAACGCGGCGAGCCACCGCCAGCTCCGCCCGCGGCGGACGCCGCTGCCCCCTCCCTCCTCATATATCCTTCCTCCCCCCGTCCCCCTCCTCATCGTTCCTCCCCATCCGCCCTCGCAATGAGGATCTGGCCTGAACGTGCGCACATCCGAAATCACACGATTAGCAAATTCACGCGAACGCGCAAGTGAACATGTTGTTTGCCGTGTGCTTTCTGCAAGAAGTGGTCGCAGAGTGCTGCGACTGGACCCCTGCGCGCTCAAACAAATACATCCGACGCGCCCCTCTCTCGTATCCGCAACTGCAGGGGGCTAGATGATGCATGCTTGCCGACCGGGAAGATTCGTGACCGACCCAACACATCTGCATCAAGCGACAAGAAGAATTGGTCCAGTGTTGCGCTGCTGATGATAACACAGGATCCGTCACTGGGGGGGCAAGCTGTATGGGAAGCGTGCTGGCCGCGCGACTCACACGACCGCAACAGAAATGACAGAAGCGGGGACGACAAATCAACGCGAGGGGACACTGTGAGGGGAGGAAGAGGACGACAACGAAGGAGGCAGGATGCGGAAAGAGGGCGGCGACCACTTTCCAATGGCGCGCCAGACAGGCAGCGCGGCCCGCGCCGTGTCGCCCTGGCGCCCCGGAAGAACAGCCGTCGACTGACGCGACTCAACGAAACGGGCGGGGCCGAACACGTCCGCCAGGCTCTTCGCTTCCTGCCTGCGCCGTGCGCTGTGGGAGCCAAACGCCCGCAAGCCTGCTGCCAGGTCATCGGGCGGCCCGCGCGGAAGAGACAAATCAAGGCCAATCTGAGTCCGCGTGCGACGTCGCGATGCAGGATCCCCCCAACAGCCCGGGACAGTGGCGACAGTTTCACAATTCGCAGCCCCCCCCCCCCCAGTCTGCGTAGGAAGTCGCTGTGCTAGACACCCTAGCAGCCTCCGCACGTGGCGACAGGTTCGCAGATCGCAGCCCCTAGGGATGGTGAGGTCTAATCTGGTTCCGCGTGGGGCGTCACTCTGTTGGAGATCCCAACTGCCCTCGACTGCGGCGACAGTTTCGCAGTTCGCAACCCGCGCAGGACGAATGTGAGACCGCGAAGGACGTAGCCCCGCTGGACCGCCACACAGCCCTCAAAAGCGGCGGCAATTTTGTGATTCGCACGCGCCCGATATCATTGCGAGGTCGAATTCGAGTCCGCGATAGGACGTCGCGTGCGGGATCCCCCCCCAGCAGCCCTCGAACGTGCCGACACACATTCGCAAGTCTCTAGAATAGGCGCGGGCTTCCTCCGTGCTCGCTCCGTCCTCCTCGCCCTGGGGGGGGGAGGGGGCAGTGGCAGACAACTCAGTTTGCCTCGCAGGGCCCTTTGAGCCGCAGCCGTGGAGACGTGGACGCCAAGCGGCGAGGCGCACGGGGGACCCTTCCCCGCCGCCAGCGTTTCGGGGGGCGGCCAAGAGGGGGGCGTCCAAGAGGGGGGGGCGCAGATCGTCGCCGGCGGCATGTGCGCGGCCCTTTGGGGGGGCCAGGGACGCAACGAAATAAGAAGAGGCGCCATGAAATCTGAGGAAATATCATGGCCCGCGCCATGATATCCACCCCCCCCTAGTCATCACCCCCCTCTTTGCCGCCCTCGAGCGTTACCAGATGAACAGGTCGGTCATATCCGAGGACCCAAAACAGTGCGCTCAGTCCCTTCAGGGAGAGAAGCCAAGCCGGCAAAGCATGGTGGAAGGCATCGGTGCACCACCGCAGGTCCTGGCCAGGACCACCGTGCGCCCAGCGCTGACGCACAGAACTCTTCTGGCCGAGGAGGCCAGGAGGCCGCATGTACCATGCCAGGGCCCATGGTGGTCCTGGCCAGGCCCGGCAGTGGAGTGGACGCGTGCCTTCCGCAGATGGGAGACGCGTGGTCACGCTAGGCTCGCGTAGATGACCTCCGAAAGCAAAGAAGACGCTATGGGGATGGCTCCCACCGCGACCACTGGCGCGAAGATGGGATCAAAATAGCTACAGCGCTGGCACTTGTACACAACCTGGTAGGTCAACATCCAGCCAAAAGTGCAGGAGATCACATACGTCGTCGAGATCATACCCAACATGTACGAGACGTTTGTGCAATTATTGTAGGGCCCAGGGTGTTTAATAGACCCGTCTTTCATCACCGCGCCGAGATCAAAGAAATACAAATCGCTCATGATCGTGTTGGCGCTCAACAACACGGCTACGACCATCACCCACAAAACTCCCGCGTAGATGCGATGGCCAAAGTATGCTACCAACCGTGCAGGAGCGAGCTCCTCCTGCTTCTCCACTTCCATCTTTACCACCTGGGCCACAAGACTTCTAATATCCACTGCATCCCCCCCACCCTCTTCGTCCATCCAAAAAGTCGCTCAAGTAGCCTCCGTGGCTTCGAACAAAGTCCAGAAAGAAGGCACGAAAGAGCCACTGCTGGAGGGGAGGCGGGGAGGGAGGTGAAGGGAGTCTTCACGGTTACGAGGGAGTGGGATAAGAGAGAGGACCGAGGAGGAGGACGAGGACCGAGGAGGAGGAGGAGGAGGAGGAGGAGGAGGAGGAGGAGAAGGAGGAGGAGGAGAAGGAGGAGGAGACAGGAGAAGGAAACACAATTACTCGCTTAGCGTGTCGCGGCGACGGCGCCGGCGAGACGCCACGCCCTGCGAGCAGACAGCGTGTCGCTCCGCTCCGCAGGGCGGGAAGCTGGAAACAGATCGAGGCGCTGACGCTCACCGGGCTGGGACACGGTCAGTGTGCCGCGCCGGAGCGTGGTGCACCAGAACCCTAAATCACTCTATTTCACTCTAAAATACAATAACAAATCTATTAAAAAAAACTCAAAATAAACTCAAACAAACACTTATGTTGCGAAACATCGCCAAAAAAAAGCGGCGACGCGACACGCTCAGCAGACGTTGCCTCCCGCCCCCTGTGGTGGCCCCATGGGGCCCGCAAGCGCCCCTTCGGGCGCCGATGCTCGTGAGAACGCCGGGGGCCCTGCGCTGTTCGGTGCTCGAGATCGGCGTCTTCTGATGTTTTGGGGGCCACTGTCTTCCGTGTTGGGACTGCCGCCTCGCGGTGTTCGGTTCGTTGGGCGAACCGCTCTTCAGCTCGTGTTTGACTGCCGTTGGTGTCTGCTCCCCGCTGCTGTGAGTCGTTTTCTGTGTTGGGTTGCCCGTGCCCTTCTGTTCTGGCTTGCCGTTTTCCGCTCGTCTTGGTCCCAACAAGTGTCGTGCTTGTTATGTCGTGGGCTGTCGTCTCAGTCGACCGCAATAGGAAGAGTTGAAGACGAGCGCACAATGGCGGCCCCCCCCCCCCCCCAGCGTTTTCGAACACAGGTAAGCACCCGGGCGCCGCATGGAAAGGACAACGCCGCGACTGAACAGACCAGATCTTCGGAGATCGGGGGAGGCCTCCGCGACCGGAAGCACCTCCCAAGGGGCCACCCCGACAGACAGGACACGAGCACGAAGCGAGCGCGGCTCCGGCGATGGGGGCCCGGCGAGGAGGCGCCCCCCAGAAGTCGAGCAACCCATGAGGAAGGTTACACTGACTACCTACCAGACCACCCCAACCCAACCCGAAGACCCGAATTTCGGGTTGGGGGGGGTAAGGGTGTTTTTTCCATGTTTCCCGACCCCCCCACACTGGAAATCGAGGGTAAATCTGAGCCTTCGGGTTGGGTTGGGGTGGTTTGGTGGGTGGCGATACACGATCAGGAACTTCTGCTCAGCGCCAGGTCGGGCATGCCCCCCGACAGGCGGATCTTCGGAGGAACGAGCAGAAAAACTGCCCAGAGATGCTCAGACAGCACTCCAAAAGAACCGAGACAGAATCGCCCCCGTGATGTTTTGCTGCCTCTTTTCAACGATGCCCCCTGCAGCGGGACAGGCCCAGCCTGAGCCGAGCGCGTCGCGGCCGCGGCCCCGGCGGCACTCTGCACCCTCCGAGCGGAGAGCGCGCGCCGCTCAACGCTCCGCGGGGCGGCGAGGCTCGGGGAGAGCTCGGCATGTGGACTCCTGGAGACCAGAGGAGGAGGAGGGGCAGGAGGAGGAGGAGGAGGAGGAGGAGGAGGAGGAGGCAGGAGGAAGGAGGCCAGGGATGAGGAGGAGACGCAGAGGGGGAGGAGGAAAGACCATCAAGGAGTAAGTGAGGAGGAGGATGATGAGGAGGGAGGAGGCGAGAAGACCAAGATATACCAGTAGTGGGAGGAGTGAGGAGGAGGACGGGAAGGATTGCGTAGGTAGGAGAGGAGGCGATGAGTCGATGAGGATGAGGAGGAGGAGAATACCAGAGGAGGTAGTGAGGAGGAGGAGGAGGAGGAGGGAAGGAGGCAGGAGGAGGAGAGGAAGGAGGAGGGACCAAGGCTAGGAGGAGGAGGATGAGGAGGAGGGGAGGAGAGGAGAGGAGGCTAGGTTGCACTTAAGGAGGAGGAGGATGAGGAGCATTGAAGAGGAGGGTAGGAGGAGGAGGACAGAGGCATTCGAGGTTTGAAGGTGAGGGCAGAAGGAGGTAGAGTTATTCTAACCACAGGAGGACAGCGCGCCGCGCCGAGGCGCGCGGTGGGCCAGGACCGGCGCAGCGGCACGCCGAGCCGAAGCTCCCGACCGTACAGTCGGGAACTTTCGCTTCGCGCGTCGTCGCCGCGGCGGCCCTTTGGCGACACGCTGCGCCCTGCGAGTGGACAGCTGCTGTCGTTCCGCTCCGCGGGGCGAGAGGCTCGGGAAGGCTCAGGGCGTCGGCGCCTGGGGCTGGGAAAGTGGACAGCGCGTCGGGTCGGAGCGCGGTCGGCCAGAAGTGGCGGAGCCACATGCTGGCCGACCGCTCCCGACCGCAAGGTCGACGACGGTGTGCTCCTTTCCTCTGAGCTGGGGCGGGTCTCCACGGGGTGGGATCGGGGAGGCGCAGGACTCGAGCTGGAGAAGCTCGAACCAGACCAGACTGGCGGGGCCGTCAGAACAACTTCGGGCTCTCCTCTGAAATCTGACGCGAACGCCCGCTGCAAACATCTCACGACGCCTGGACTGTCAAATTCGGGCCAGGAGGAACAGGATGCTCAGGGCTCCCTGTGGGGAGGAGGACCATGTGGGGAGGAGGAGGAGGAGGAGGAGGAGGAGGAGGAGGAGGAATCGGAGGACCTCATCACCGTAGGCCTCGCGGACAAACTTGTGGGCCGTGTCGTCCTGAGGCACAACAAGCATTGCAAAGGCAGTCGTGTAACAATCAAGGAGTGAGGGTGTTCAGACGGCCATCCTCAATCCCTGCGCGCGCGCGGCTGCAAAGGAGCCTCGACGCGGGGGCGGGCGCGCCAGTCGGGCACGCGAAGCGGGCGTGCTCACCGAGCACGCCCACCGGCAACGCGAACCGGGCATGCTCATCGGCAGCACGAACAGGGGGCACACCTCCCATCATCCTCAAGCATCCGCAAGGCAGGGGTGGCCTGCGTGTAACAAGATCCGCCTGCCGCCAGCCCTCCAAAAAAAAGGCCCAGACCTCCACGGCGACCCGCCGCAGATCGAAGGATGCAACAGTTTTGTTTTTTTTTGTTGTTTTGCAATCCTTCGCCCCAGGGTCTCGCGCTCAGTTCTCGGCGGCCTGGGGCCCTTATCGCACCCCTCGCGGAGGCCTCGCGGGGGGCGCCCGGCCACGGCTTCGAAGAGGGCATCCTCCCTCTCTCGGGTGCCTGCGTCGGGGCCCCTCTCGATGGCGCAGCGCACAGGGTCAGTGGCGCGCGCGCTACGCTGGATTCGGTGTCAGCTCGCCAGGGCCCGTTGATTGAGCAACCGATCCTCCCCCTCCTCCTCCTAGATCCCTTCTCCCTCCTCGATCCTCGATCCTCCTCCTCGGCCCAGGATCCTCGATCCTCCCCCTCCTCGATCCTTCTTCTCGATCCCTCGTCCCCCTCCTCGGTCCCTTCTCCCCCTCCGGCTTGAGGTCCTTCCCTCGCCCTGCTCGATCCTCGGCCCTCCTGCCGCGGGGGCGAGCAGCTCGCGCGCGCCTGGCGGGCGCGGCGAACGCAGCGGCGGTACCCCCCCGGACGCCGCCGAGGGGCGATATCGCTGTCGTCGTGATCCATGTCGTCGTCATCGCTATCGTTACCGTTGATCGTTGCGATCGTTGTTATCGTTGTCATCGGAAGAGGGATGAACCGTGCCATACACCACACACGGGGGCACACCAAGGTGGAGGGAAGGGATTGGGTAGAGCTGCTGGGCCACTCAAATGATTCGACGCAGCAGCTTGCCCGCTCTGCTCCTCCTCGGTCCTCGATCCTCCCCCTCGATCCTCAACCCTCCCTAATCCTCAATTCTCGCTCCACCCTCCCCCTCCTCGATCCTCGATCCTCCTCCTCGACCCACAATCCTCGATCCTCCTCTTCCTCCTCCTCCTCCTCCTCCTCCTCCTCCTCCTCCTCCTCCTCGATCCTCCTCTTCGATCCCTTCCCCCCCTCCTCGGTCCTCGGTTCTCGGTCCTCGGTCCTCGGTCCTCGGTCCTCCTCGGTCCTCCTCGGTCCTCCTCGGTCCTCCTCGGTCCTCCTCGGCGGTCCTTCTCCTCCTCCTCCTCCTCCTCCTCCTCCTCCTCCTCCTCCTCCTCCTCCTCCTCCCCTCGATCCGCGACCCCCCTGCTCAGTCCCCGATCCCCCTCCCCGCGCCCTCCCCCCCCGGGGGCTCTGCGTCCAGGAGCACCAGCCCGAACAGGCGGTCGGCCAGCTGCACCAGGAGGACGGCCACCCCCGCGAGGACGCCGGCCACGGGCAGCGCGGCGAGCCCCGGGGCGGGGGGCCCTGGCCCGGGCGGGGGGGGGGGCCCTGCGGCCCAGCGCTGCCTCCTCCTCCTCCTCCTCCTCCTCGTCGTCCTCCTCCTCCTCATCTCGCTCCTCCTCTCCTCCTCCTTCTCCTATCTCCGTCCTCCTCCTCCTCCTCCTCCTCCCTCCTCCTCCTCCTCCTCCTCCTCCTCCTTCCTCCTCCTCTCTACCCCTCCTCCATCCTTCCCTCTCCTTCCTCTCTCCTCCTCTCTCCTCCTCCCTCCATCCCTCCTCCTTTGCCTCACTCCTCCTCCTCCTCCTCCTCCTCCTCTTCCTCCTCCTTTCCTCCTCCTCCTGCCTCCTTCCTCCTCCTCCTTCCCTCCTCCTCCTTCTGGCTGCCTCCTTCCTCCCCCTTCCCACTCCCCCTGTTCCCCCTCAACCCTCCCCCTCTCCCCCCCCCGTCCCCCTCGCCCCATCATCCCCTCCTTCCCTACCTCCTCTCCTTCCTCCTCCTCCTCCTGCCCTCCTCCTCCTCCCTCCTCCTCCTCCTCCTCCCTCCTCCTCGCTCCTCTCCTCCTCCTCCCCCGCCTCCCCTGCCCGCCTCCGCGGCCTCCGCCTCCTCCGAACCTCCCTCCCCTCCTCCTCCTCCTCCTCCTCCTCCTCCCTCCTCCTCCTCCTACCTCCTCCTCTGGCCCTCCTCCTCCTCCCCCTCCTCCTCCTCCTCCCTCCTTCCTCCTCTTCCTCCTCCTCCCTCCTCCTTACTCTCCTCCTCCTCCTCCTCCTCCTACCCCCCCTGACTCCTCCTCCTCCAGGGGGCGGGCCGACGTACGTCCTCGCGCAGAGGAGCCGCCGGGGGCGGAGGGACCCTCCGGCGCGCGGCGAAAGCGGCGACGCCTCGAAAAAAACACGTTTTTTTTGGTTCCGAGAAGTTTTTTACTTGGCATGGCGTTTCGCCCCCCCCCCCCCCCCCCCGGCTTCTCGGCCCCTCTTCCGAGGCAATCCAGCGTGCAAGTGCCTTTCGACTTTTGCGTGATGTCCGCGCCCCCCCGAACGTGCAAGTCGTTTGCTGCTTCAGGCTCAGCCCCCCCCACCCCCCCGGTCCATGCAGGTAAACTTGCCAGAGTCTAGAAAAAACAAGCTCCTGCCGCCCCGCGCTGCAGGCCCAGACCCCCTAAGGCTAAGTCGGGCCTGTGCCCCTACAGGGGGATGCTGGACGATGTTCTGGAACACAAAAAAAACAAAGAAACAGCAAAAACGCTCAACAAGATTCAAGCATTTGCAAAAACAACTCGTCCCCAGAGTATTTGTTTTACTAATGTTGTTTGAATATTCCCCCTGTAGAGGGACAGGCCCGACTTAACCCTAGAACTATGACACGATCACGACGGTTTTTTGGTTGCCGTTTTCGGCCTCTGGGGGCCCTCACTGGCCCTCGGGGCCGTCAAGAGACGACTCGGGGTGAAAAAACCGGTCCGGGGGAAGGGGTCGAGACCTCTGGGGGTCGACGCTGTGACAAATTCATGACGTCGGGGGTCAGGGGAGAGCGCTCTCGTCACAGACATGATCGCGTCGCATCAAAATCAGGATGGGGAGCGAGAGCGCTGTCTTCGCAGGCATGATCGCATCGTGAACAAGATCAGGGCAGGAGGTTTCTTGGTGCCTTTTTCAGCCTCGGGGGGCCCTCGCCGGGCCTCGGGACCGTCGAACAGTGACGCAGAATGAAACAGCGGTCCCCGGGGAAGGGGTCGAGAGACCTCGAGGAGACGGCGTTAGGACACATCATGACGTCGTGGGTCTGGGTCTGCAGAGAGCGTAAACAAAAAGTGTTAGGGCCCTGGGGAGCACTGGCGTGACCCAGCTGGGGGGGGGGACGGAGGCACCCGCTGTTGGGTGGGGCATGTCCCCCTGCAGGCGGACTTTGGAAGAGATAAATGAAGAATAATGAGAAAAGCTTTAAAACAACATTTAAAGGGCACGAGAAATTGTCACCATACGATTTTTCGACTACTCTTGACAATTTCTCCTGTGGGGAGACATGCCCGACCTAACCCTACTGCCAAGTTCTGTGGGGCAGGCTCCTCTACTCCCCGGCGACCGCGGGCGTGACCCAGCGGCGGGGGGGGGGGGGAGGGAGGCCCCCTGCTGCCGAGCTCTGTGGCGACAGCTCTCTTCCTCCCTGGCGATCGCGAGCAGCGTGACCCGGCGGCGGCGGGAGAGGGCGGGGGGGACGGGAGGCCCCTGCTGCTGCGCAGTTCTGTGGAGAACGATTCTTGGACGGGCGGGGGGGCGATCACGGGCATCCCCGGGGAGGAGGATTGTCACGGCTGTCGTTTAAGGCACGGGTAATGTTTTACCGATTCAGGAGGAGGAGGAGGAGGAGGAGGAGGAGGAGGAGGAGGAGGAGGAGGAGGAGGAGGAGGAGGGGGGGGACGGTCACGTGGTCGCGCCACGATTCGCGGCAGCACCGTCTGGGAGCGCCTGCACGTGAACGGCCCATTCCCGGACGGCGGAGGCGCGAATCGTGACGCGAGCCGAGGGGAGGGGGAGGGAGGGGGCGAGGGTTGCGGGGCCTGTCACGGGCGTGCTCGCGAATAGACCAACGACTGCTTCTTATTGCCGCACGCTGGTGTTTGGCGGCGGTGCCGGCCCCCAAATGCCCTAGATGTGCTATGCTAAAATCGGTAGGCATTCTTTGGGCGACGGCGCTTTTGGTGAACCACAGAGTGCCCTCGTGGCGCTGGCAGAGGAATCGCTCGCCAGCGAAAACCTATACGTCGCGTTGTTCACTGTGGCGAGGTCTTCGTCGTCGTCGTCAACACGGTGAAAACGGATCTTGGATGAAAATCGAAGACCACTGTACGCCATGTCAAAGAGTACACACAAACACCCGCCGACAAGTTTGCCCTGCGCCTTCAGAAGAGGGCGGCGGCGCAATCATACGATCGTTAGCTCTCACAGTGGTGATGTAGACACCACCGTCCTCCCCATGAGGCCCAGGAGCAATCCACTGGAGGGTGTCTGTATATATTTTTGCGCGGCGGACTCTGACATCCGTCGGCTCTGTGGAGGATGCATCGGGCGCCGCGCAGCCGCTCCAAAGCGATCCGGGACGCTCTGAGAGCGTTCCGAAGCGCTGTGGAGCGACGTTTGCTTCTCAGCGTGAGGCAGCGGCGCCCCTGGCGAATGCAGCGCCCTGCAAGCGGAGAACGCGTCCCGTTTGTCTGGCAATGCACAGGGGCACTGAGGGAGTCATTCGGCGGGAGGAGGCGCGATACAGGAAAAGGGGCAGCAAGTGTTTCATCCGAACCGCGACCCCCCAGCGAGGAGGACAAGGGAACAGAAGCCCGACGCCGGACGCCTAGAGATGAGGGAGGGTGGGCGGGGCAAGAGTGGACGAATAGTGTCGAACAGTCAATGACGTTTTTTGCCGAGAAAAAGGAAGCGACGATGACCCAGGTTCTCCAGGAGGGGGGTGGGGGGGAGGCGCCCACCGATAACCTCACATTTTTGCTGTAGGCAGCCCCGCGCATGCCCGCGAGCGCCAGTACTGCGTGCCCCCTTTGTGGGCCTGCGCAGCGGGCAAGGCTCTCCGGGGGGGTGGGGGGTTGGCGGGCGAGCCCGAGAACCTGGACAACCGCGGGACCCGCACAAATCTTCTCCGTGACGCCAGGACCGTCCCGAACGGCCGCCCATCGGGCCGGAGCAGCCGAAGGAAAGGAGCGACCGTGCCCATTGACGAGTGCTGCACAATCGTCCCACAGCACGAGATCGCGTCAGTGAGGGGCTGTGAAGAAATGCTCAGAGCCAAACCCTCGGTGGTCATGCACTACACTGTGCAAGTGACGCAGCAGGTCTAATCTGAAAATGGACTGCTCAAAACTAGCAGCCAGCAGAAGAAGAAGAAGAGGAAGAATCCGAGGAGGAGGAGGAGGAGGAGGAGGAGGAGGAGGGGGAGGCAGGAGCTTTGATTTATGTCCACCTTTCTGGGGCTTTCCCGTTTGGCCCCTCCGATGCCACCAGTGGATTCGTCTCGGCATTGTGGCCTGAGCGAGCTCAATGGAAAGGGACCGGTGGGGGGGTTGGAGAAGGGGGGATCCTGGACTCTAGGGCGGGGAGGCGGAGGAGGAGAAAGAGGAGGGAGCAGCCCAAACCTCTGGGAACAGAGCGAGACGGCTGCCGTGAGATGTTCTGCCTCTGTGGGTCCGCTCTGACCCCCCGGATAGACAGAGAACGATACGGGATGAACAAACGGTGCAGAAAGAAAGGGTTGGGAGGTGCGGTGTCCCCCGTCGCAGGAGAAGCGTGACGTCGGATGTCCTGGGCAGTGAGAGGAATGCGCCAGACACGTACGCTCAGAAATTCTGTTGTACAACATCTTGGGCAACATCCTCGTCGGTCTTCGAGGGTCCAGAGGTTTGACGTGCCTACTGAAGAAGTGACGCATCGTGAAAAAGAGGCGTGGGCAGGAGGACGGCAAGGCAAAGGCCTGTCAAAACAAGCGCGATGTATGTGCGCGTGACCATGCCCGGCAGCACGAACGTCCTTACGTTGAAGACGATCGAGGCAATAGTGCGGATAATACCGCGTTGGCAGCACCTTGGCGGCCCGCAACAAGAGGGCGTGGGCGAGGGTGACTACCTACCTGACCAGCCCAACCCAACCCGAAGACCCGAATTTCGGGTTGGGGGGGCACGAGTTCTATCTGTGTTTTTCAATGTTGCCCGATGACCCCCAACTGGGACTGGAGGGCAAATTGGGGCCTTCGGGATGGGTTGGGATGGTTTGGTGGGTGGTAATACAGGGGGGCTCAAGAAGGCATTGTGCCCCTTGGAAGGGCGCGGAGGCATCTGAGAAGGCCTTTCGGAACGCATGAGGGCCTCCGAGAACTCCCCCTGCCTTCTTCAAGTGCTGGCCCCTCCGCGCCACCCCTGCCAGACCATCGGCTCAAGCAATTTACAGACCGCCCTCGGGGGGGGTCCATCCTGGCTTTTTTTCCTAGCTGCGCCCAGCCATGGCGACGAGGAGGAGGAGGAGGAGGAGGAGGAGGAGGAGGAAGAGGAGGAGGAAGAGGAGGGCCGAATAGGACGAGAATGATCTCATGCGAGTGGCGCAAGATGCATTCTAGAAGTTCCGGAGCATCTAGCGTCCCTCGTCTCGAGGGCCCGCCAGGAACAAAGGGGAAGAAGGCCTGGAAATCTTGGAACGGGTCAGCATCATGACGCCGTGCATCATGACGCCCTGCCCCTCTGGACCGACAGCGAAAAAGCGAGGACGGCAAGAGCAAGGAGGAGGAGGACCCTCTTCTCGCCCATGCCTCCCTTCTGCGCGCCGCCGGGCGCCCAAACTCCGCCACCCTGTCGAGCCGGTAGACGAACACGTCGAGGCAGGCCTCGTCCTGGTCCAGGTCCGCGGTGACCACGTGGAGCACCACGGCGATCACGGTGATGACGACGAGGAAGGGGCCCAGGGTGAGGTGGTCGTGCCACCTGTCGAGGTAGTCGCACCTGCCAGAGGCTGCCCAGGCGGGGCCGGAGCAGGCGGGGCTGGAGGACACGGCACCGCACGGCAGATGCGTCGGCGATGCCATGGGCACGATGAAGCCACAGAACTCTCACTGCCTGGCGCTGGAACATGTCGAACAGCTTCTGAATTCGATCGCCGATGCGGCGCCGCCCTCCGGCCTCACCCGCTCTGCTCTGGCCTCATTGGGCAGCCTGCAACCTTTCGTCCGCCTCGTTGGCCGCCACGTACGCATCGCAGTAGCTCGCGGCGGTAGCGAGTGCGAAGGGGTCCATGACGTCGTAGGCATCCTTGCGCAACCACGATGGGAGTTTCGTGAACTCCTCGTCCTGCATCCTCTTGGCCCACAGGCAGTCTTCGCACTTGCCAGGGGTGCTCTGGTACATCGTAAAGCCCCTGCTCGCGAGAGGCATGGCTGGCCACTGGCACCACCCCCCCCATGGCGCCCCGACGGCTCCCCGGGGACATGCGAGTTTCCCGACTGATGGGAAGGGGGACTCCACGGCGCACTGCTGGCTCTGGTTCCGGGCAGGCTGTGCTGTGGCGGAATGCCCTGAATCCAAACATTCACCTCCTGGGAGCGCACCGCTTACGCAGAAGCCAGAAAATCCACCCCCATACGAACCGCCCCGACGCGCGAAGTCGTTTGTAGCAGACGCGCCCGAGGAAGGACTCGAACAAGGCAAGGCTGTCTAGTAGAAACGCCCAGTGCCGTTTGAACAAATTACCCTGGCGACGTACCCACCCCCTGCGCAATGCGGGGCATGAGTAGCTTGGGAGACGTTATACGGAGGTGATGGCGTGACATGGGCACACATACTTCTGCGGGCGGCATTCGTGAGGCCGGCAGCCCCCCAAGGATTGCGATGTCTTGCTCAGATCTGCCTGGTGCCTCGCTCCGCTGAACCCGCCACCAGCCTTCGAAAGTGGCGACAGTGTCGCAGATCGCAGCCCCCAAAGGACGGCGAGGTCCCGCTGGGATCTGCGCGGTGCCTCACTCCGCAGGACCCACCAGCAGCCCTCGAAAGTGGGGACAATTTCGCAGATCGCAGCCCCCCCAAGGGCGGCGAGGTCCCGCTCAGATCCCCGCGGTGCCTCACTCCGCTGGACCCACCAGCAGCCCTGGAAAGTGGTGACAGTGTCGCAGATCGCAGCCCCCCAAGCACGGCGAGGTCCCGCTCGGATCTGCGCGGTGCCTCACTCCGCTGTACCCACCAGCAGCCCTCGAAAGTGGTGACAGTTTCGCAGATCGCAGCCCCCCAGGGACGGCGAGGTCCCGCTCAGATCTGCGCATTTCCTGACTCCGCTGGACCCGCCAGCAGCCTTCGAAAATGGCGACAGTGTCGCGGATCGTTATGCTGGCCCCCCAAGCAGCCCTCGAAAGTTGCGACGGTTTCGCTGATCGCAGCCCCCAAAGGACGGCGAGGTTCCGCTCAGATCCCCGCGGTGCCTCACTCCGCTGGACCCACCAGCAGCCCTCGAAAGCAGGGACAATTTCGCAAATCGCAGCCACCCAAGGACGGCGAGGTCCCGCTCAGATCCCCGCGGTGCCTCACCCCGCAGGACCCGCCACCAGCCCTCGAAAGTGGCGACGGTTTCGCAGATCGCAGCCCCCCAGGGACGGCGAGGTCCCCCGCTGGACCCACCAGCAGCCCCCGAAAGTGGCGACAGTGTCGCAGATCGCAGCCCCCCAAGCACGGCGAGGTCCCGCTGGGATCTGCGCGGTGCAGACCCACTGAAAGTACTCCCGCTGTCCCTACCATCAGGCTTTCGAAAGTGGGCGACAGTGTCGCAGGCAGAAAATCGCGAAGCCCCCCAGGGGGGCGAGTCCCGCTCAGATCCCCGCGGTGCCTCACTCGCCTCTCCGCAGGACCCACCCAAGCATCCCTCGAAAGTGGCGACTAATGTCGCAGATTCGCAGCAGCCCCGGCTGAAGCGAGGTCCCGCTCAGATCCCCGCGGCGCCTCACTCCGCAGGACCCACCAGCAGCCCTCGAAAGTGGCGACAATGTCGCAGATCGCAGCCCCCCAGGGGCGGCGAGGTCCCGCTCAGATCCCCGCGGTGCCCCACTCCGCCGGACCCACCAGCAGCCCTCGAAAGTTGCGACAGTGTCGCAGATCGCAGCCCCCCATGGACGGCGAGGTCCCGCTCAGGTCCCCGCGGTGCCTCACTCCTCAGGACCCACCACCAGCCCTCGAAAGTGGCGACAATGTCGCAGACGCAGGCCGCCTCAGGGACGGCGAGGTCCCGCTCAGATCCCCGCGGTGCCTCACTCCGCAGGACCCACCACCAGCCCTCGAAAGTGGCGACAGTGTCGCAGATAGCAGCCCCCCAGGGGCGGCGAGGTCCCGCTCAGATCCCCGCGGTGCCTCACTCCGCAGGACCCACCACCAGACCTCGAAAGTGGCGACGGTGTCGCAGATCGCAGCTCCCCAGGGACGGCGAGGTCCCGCTCAGATCCCCGCGGTGCCTCACTCCGCAGGACCCACCAGCAGCTTTCGAAAATGGCGACAGTGTCGCAGATCGCAGCCCCCCAAGCACGGCGAGGTCCCGCTCAGATCCCCGCGGTGCCTCACTCCGCAGGACCCACCAGCAGCCCTCGAAAGTGGCGACAGTGTCGCAGATCGCAGCCCCCCAGGGGCGGCGAGGTCCCGCTCAGATCCCCGCGGTGCCTCGCCCCGCAGGACCCACCACCAGCCCTCGAAAGTGGCGACGGTGTCGCAGATCGCAGCCCCCCAGGGACGGCGAGGTCCCGCTCAGATCCCCGCGGTGCCTCACTCCGCAGGACCCACCAGCAGCCCTCGAAAGTGGCGACAGTGTCGCAGATCGCAGCCCCCCAGGGGCGGCGAGGTCCCGCTCAGATCCCCGCGGTGCCTCACTCCGCTGGACCCACCAGCAGCCCTCGAAAGTGGCGACAGTGTCGCAGATCGCAGCCCCCCAGGGACGGCGAGGTCCCGCTCAGATCCCCGCGGTGCCTCACTCCGCAGGACCCACCACCAGCCCTCGAAAGTGGCGACAGTGTCGCAGATCGCAGCCCCCCAGAGGCGGCGAAGTCCCGCTCAGATCCCCGCGGTGCCTCACTCCGCAGGACCCACCACCAGCCCTCGAAAGGGGCGACGGTGTCGCAGATCGCAGCCCCCATCGTCGGCGAAGAGAGGGCAGGAGGAGGCGGGAGAAGAAGGAGGGACGCGACCACAATGCTCTATTCAGAACGAATGCCCAACCCAGGAGGGTTTGGAAAAAACGCCGATTGTCCGGTCCGCGTGGTCTTTCCTCCCCGGACTACTTCCGCCCGCCAGCTCGCGCCGCCTCCCGCCGAGGGAGCGGCGACGGCCACCTGCGGTCCTCGAAGGCGATGCCCGGCCTGGAGCGCCCCAAGGAGAGGCCGTCGGTCCGTGCCCCCCACCGCTGCCGCCCCCTCCTCCCCCTCCTCCTCCTCCTCCTCTCCTCCATACCACCTCCTCCTCCTCCTCCTCCTCTCCTTCCTCCCTCCTCCTCATGCACCTCCTCCTGCCCTCCTCCTGCACCTCCTCCTGCACCTCCTCCTGCACCTCCTCCTCCTCCACCGCAGGAGGGCGCAGAAGCAATCGATGAGTCGCCCTGGCGATCGAGACACGAAGGGGATCGGCAGGAAGGGAGCAGCCGAGTCGGGAGAGGAGTCGACTCGGCGCAGCTCGGCAGGATGGCGAGGCCCCCATGGAGAAACCAGAATCTGGATCGGCGTCCGAGGTCGAATCGAATCGGCATCGGAATCCGTCGAAGTCGAAGTCGAACCGAGCCGGAGGAGTCGAAATGGAGCCCTGCCGCCGAGGCCTGGTCGGCGCGCACCACATGCCCGCCCGGCAGTCCGCGTTCTGCTTGCACGAGGGATTCAGGGCCTCGGGCGCGGCGGGGCGGGGTCCTGAGGAGAACCTTCAGCCATCCCCGACCGAGGGAGGGGGCAAACATTCTGCGGCAACGCATGGGAGCCTCTCGTGCCGTCTTGTTTGCTCTTGTGGATCGACGCGAATCGACGCCGGCGCTTATTCGGAGCATCTCGTCGATTACCGCACGCAAATCGAAGCTAACGCATTCCTGACGAGGAAGAGACTCAGACTGAGATTCAGCCTGCGGCAACGCTAGTACTTGTTGACGTTCGCAGGCTCTTGAAGAGCGGAGGGGTGAGCAGCTGGTTACTGAGCATACCCGAGCGGTGGAAACGAACGCTTGTGCTTCATTGGCGGCCCCACAGTCGGGCAAACAACGCCCGTGCTGCCACGAGGAGGAGGAGGAAGAGGAGGACACTCTTGGCCTCGGAGGGGGGGGGGGGGCCAACTCAACCCAAGTTCTGATGTTGCGCCACACCGCGATTGGCGGGGTGAGCTGCGGCGCAGCTCCAGTGGCTGAGGCCAGAGCTCGAGGGCAAGGGAGGCAAGGAGAAGGAAGAGAAGACGGACCAGCGCAAACGCAGGACGCACCAACGTTGCTGCAGCACTAGGGGGACGAATTAGGATATAAATACCTATACGACCACCCTTCGGGCGATAAGGAGGTTGTGGGGGGGGGAGAGAGAGAGAGGGGGGAACCAACATCTGACTCAATCGATCTCGCTACCGATCTCACTCAACGGGCCGCCACGGGGCGCCACGGGACACTTGTCGATCTCACTATCGATCTCACTATCGATCTCACTCAACGGGACATCACGGGACACCACGGGCCACCACGGGACACCGCGGAACACCTCTCGATCTCACTATCGGTCTCGCAATCGATCTCACTATCAATCTCACGCAACGGGACACCATAGGACACCACGGGACACCACTGGACACCTCGGGACACCACATCGATCTCGCTATCGATCGCACTATGGATCTCACTCAACGGGACACCACGGGACACCACGGAACACCTGTCGATCTCAGTATCGATCTCACTATCGATCTCACTTTTTGGGACACCACGGGACACCACGGGACACCTCAAGCGCCACATCGATCTCACCATCGATCTCGCTATCGATCTCACTCAACGGGACACCACGGGGCGCCTGTCGATCTCACTATCGATCTCACTATCGATCTCACTGCTTGGGACACCACGGGACACCGCCCAGCCCAACTGGGACACCTCCCGGCCACCGGCGGACGGGAAACGGACTTTCGCTCCTACTGACACCCGGGACACCCAGGACACCGCCCGGCCCACCTGGGACACCTCCCAGCCACCGGCGGACGGGAACGCACTTTCGCTCCTACTTCGGCCTAGCTACAGGAGGATCACGCGCAGCTTCGCCTCGCCCGCACGCACGACACGAAGACGAAACCGAAACCGATTTCCCAGTGGTGGGTCTCTGTTTCACTGCGATCTCACCCCCCAACCTCCGATAAAAACTCGGAGGTCCGCGCGGACCTCCGAAATGTTATGTTTATGTCGTTCCTCGCTCCCCAAGCACACCCTCCTGTCCCGAGCTCCCTCCCGACAGGGCCACTGCAAAAGCACTGCCCTCCAGGGCCCCGAGGGATGCGCCCCCCGCCCACACCCCCCCTCCAGAGAGAGAGAGAGAGCCGGGCGCACCAAGCGCCTGCAGCGCTCCAGCGCGAGCCGGAGCGGATCACCTTGGAAACGACAGGGCCGCTGCTTGCTTGGCTCGTCTTCGGACTGATAGGACTAAGCCAGAACAATGTAGAGGAGACGACAGGGCCGTGGCTTTGCTTGGACGAAGCCAGGACGAGGATAACATCGGGTGAAGATACATCGGGAATCATCTCTGAAATCTGGCGGCTCTGGAGGATGGCTCGGGCGCCGCGGCCTTCTCAGGGCGTCGCGGAACGCTCGGAGAGCGTTCTGGAACGCTCTGAAGAAACACAATCAGTGGGAACAGACACAGTCTGTAGACAAAACACACAACTTGGAGAACAAAAACTCACAGTCGGTGTTTTCTTTCCCCATATCCTCGTCCTAGCCCCGTCCGGTTTGCCGCTTTGCTTTCTGCTTCGGGCACTGTCGCTGGCGCCGCTTTTGCTCCCAGCGGCGCCGCCGTGTTGCTCCCGGTTCTGGCTCCGGCTTCGGTGCCGGAGCCGTTCTGCTCCCGCTGCGGCGGACCGTGTTCGGTACGGCTCTTTCTTCTCACGATCGCGCTCTCGGGGCGCGATGACACAGCAGCCCTGCCGTTTCCAAGGACCGCCAAGTGCGAGAGCCCCCATTCCGAACAGCCGCCCTCCATCCCGAAGAGGAGCAGGCGGGAGGCGGGGCTTCTCGTGGTGGAGGAGGAGGGGGACAGGATGGGGCTGGTCCTGTCCATCCTGATTCCCTCCAGAGCCTCGTCGATCCTGATCCTCCTCGCTCTCTGAGCATCTCTCCTCGCTCCTCGCTCCTCCCACCCGCATCCCTGCTTCCTTCTCTCCTCCCTCCTCCTGCTCCTCCTCGATCTTCTGACCCCTTTTCCAAATACTGCCTCCTCATCCTCCTTCGAGTTTCGACCTGCAAGCCTTCGTCTCCATCCCTCTTCCTCCTCCTCCTCCTCCTCGTCCTCCTCCTCCTCCTCCTCCTCCTCCTCCTCCTCTCTCCTACCCTCCTCCTGCTCCTCCTCCTCCTCCTCCTCCATCCTCTCCTCCTCCTCCTCCTCCTCCTCCCTCCTCCTCCTCCTCCTCCTCCTCCTCCTCCTCCTCCTCCTTTTTTTTATCCTCCCCCTCCTCCAACTCGTACTCCTAATTGCTCCTACTCATTATTCCTCTCTCTCACCATGTCTCTCCCAACTTTTCTCGCCCCTTCTCGGAAGAGGCGGAATACGATGATAATATCCGCCGCCTTGCCTTCGGCACGCCAGGCCGCTGTTGTGTCCGAGTGTCGTCCGAGCTTGACGAGGCTGACCCTCGGTCCTCACCCCGCGCGTCCGAGTACTCTCCGACGCCCTGTTGGGCCTGCAGATGATGTGCCGAGAAGGCTGCACGACGGCGTGTTCGATCAGCGGCGCACCGGATCCGCATTGCGGTCGAGCTACAGCAGGTTTGATGCTGTAGAGGAACAGAAAAACAAACACACACACACACACACATTCACTTAAGGCGCTCCGCGCGGACTTCGTGGATCTGCACAGCGCGGATCCAAGAAACCCGCGCGGAGCGCCAAGAGTTTATCGTCACGGTTACAACGGCAGGTGGTCGTCATTCTTGTCCAGAGCACCCTTCATTTTTTCTACGTGGATCACATGCGCGACCAATGCGTCGCCGCACATCATGCTTCGATGATGCCAGGCGCGCCCAACCCGCTGCCTGGCCATCCATCATCCATCCATCATCCATCGTTGCAGAGCCAACGGCAAGTTCACTGGGGACTCTACTTCAGTCATTTGCCTCTCCAGAAAAAAAAACGCCAGCATAATAAACTCAGTTTCTGTTTAAGGCGTTTTCCGACTTCGATGTTAAGCAAATGAGGCACAAAGGCCAAAGGAACGGCGGGAGGGAAGGGGGGGGAGAGGGCCGCTGACGGCCGGAACGCGCCCTCGGAGCGCCCTCGGAGAACTTCGAGGAGTGCCTGCCGGAGGCGGGCTCGAGTCCCTGTCTCTGACGGTGCGCTTGTCGAGGCATTGCAGTTCTAGGGCAAGGAGAGGAGAGGAGGAGGAGGAGGAGGATGAGGAGGAGGAGGAGGAGCAGGAGCAGGAGGAGGAGGAGGAGGAGGACGAGGAGGAGGAGGAGGAGGAGGAGGATGAGGAGGCGTCCGGCAAAGGCCAGATGAGAACCACTCGCGGAAGCGCCCGCCGCAAGACGGCGCACGCCCACCCAGAGACGGCCCAACGAGCCCCGAGGCGGCCCCAAGGATGGTCCCAGGACGGCCAGGGACGGCCTCTCGGAGCGGCCCCCGAGAGAGGAGCGCCCCCGCGACGCCCCCAGGAAGGCTCCAAGAGGACCCACCGGAGGGCCCCTCGAGGGGCGGGCACCGCTGGCTTCCATCCAGCCTGCTGCGAGCAGCAGCCCGTGATCGGCACCGCCTCGCCTTCGAAACGGTTCGCCAGGCTCGGAGCACCAAAAGACCAGACGTTGCAGCATCGATGCTGTGCCTGGCTGCCGTGCTCGTGGACGCGCTGTGGGAGAGGAGGGGATGACGCCGGCGTGGAGTCTCCTCTCCCCTCCCTCCTGGCCCGCCGCCTACATCTCTTCCTGGTCTTGCTCCTGATCCCGAACTCGACGAATGCATCAAGATCGGAGGTCTGAGAAACTGTCCAGCAGGCGACAAAAGGTTGGCTGATGGGAGAGGACCTGCGGGATACTGCACCGCTACCAGAAGGATCCACAAGGACGAGATCAAGCGTGGCTGGCACTCCATCGGGGCTGGACAGAACCCCCTTCAGCAAAACACCGATCACTGAAAACGGCTCAGGACCAGACCAGGCAAGCGCAGGCCCGCAAAAGTTCGGGCCGCGACGCACCTTCGAGAACCGTACAAGTGCAATTCACTAATGCACTTGGTACAGGGGAACCAATAATGGCATAGACATACAAACTCGGAGGTCCGCGCGGATTTCTCGGATCGACGCTGGGGCCCCCTGGCGGTGTCTCCGGCGCCGCCCCTGGCGCGCTCCGCGCGACAGGGAGAGGGGTCCAGTGCCGACCCGAGGAATCCGCGCGGACCGCCGAGTTTTATGCTTACAGTCGGCCCAGATTAGTAGGCCGACGCTGCCAAATCAAGGGTACCCTTGTGTCCTGTGTCTCGCGACCCATGCTTCCTACATTCATGTGGCAATGTGGCCCTCGGAAGGGTCTTGTGTTTTCTCGCGTGCCCTGTCCAATCGAGTCCGACTGTATATAATTTGTCGTTCCCCTCTGGTAGGGTGAGAGCACGTCGCCGTGTCACGGCGGGAGCCCCGGCGACACGCTCTATATACCCTGGCGCGGCACGGCCCGCATCGGAGGCGATGACAGAGCCCGTGGCTGGCTGATGGCGACATCTCAGGGGGACCGCATCGCTACCGACCAAAAAAAACAAAAGGACGAAGCCAGGTGTGACCAGCACTCTGCCTGGGTAAGGGTTGTGCAGGGACCTACCGTCCCGGCATTCCTATAAGGAACGCATGGAAACCGTCCCCCGCCCCCCACATGAGAAACTTTAGACCAACTAGACCGCGCGCGCCCCCCGCCCCCCCCACGGCAGCTGGCAATGGCATCCCTTACAGGCCGTTTACACCCACGCACATTCGCCATAATTTTAAAACGTTGACATATAAAATCCATTGTTGTGGGAGCCGGGGTCGGTTTCCCACTGCTCATATAGGCCGACCGTGACATTTTCTTACAACAAAGGAGGCGTCCTATGAGTATCTAAGAACAGCAGTCGCCTTCTTAGAACAGACCGCCGATGTAATGTAACACGACGAGACGGTCTCAGCCAGAAGTGCCCGAACACACAGCTCGCGCAACCCACCGACAACTCTCGGAACGTCCTCTGGTGGGCCTCCTCAGGCCAGCCAGGACGCCTCGCCGCTGCTTGGCACTGAAAAAAAATCCGAACGGGTCGAGATCAGTCCACAGCGAGACCGGCACCCTGCCTGGACGAGGCCGCGCGCGAGGCCTGACGCTGGCGCGGCACGGCCCGCACCGGAGGCCGCGCCAGAGCCCCCGGGGGGCCCCCCGGGGCGGGGCCGGCCCACCGAGCGCGGTCCGCCGCGGCTCCGCCGCCTTCTGCGGGAGTGCGCTCAGGAGTGCCCGGCGCGGGCGCCGAGGGGGGGGCGATCGGATTGAGCAGGGGCCGACCGTCCCGGCACTCCTCTGGTCCTACCACGACGTGTTCGTAGAACCCGAGAACTTTCTGAGAACCAAAGCAATCTTCTCAGAACATAGGCCCGGTGTGATAAAACAAGACACGCCCAGCCAGACATGTTCTAAGAACACTTCGTGGAAACCACAAAAGGTTCTTAGAGCACGCCTATGGGCGAGCCAGGACGCTTCGCCACTGCTTGATCGGAGGCGACGACAGGGGCGAATGGCCCAGGGGAGCGCAATATAGATGTATCCAGGTGCGCCGATGACCTCTGTCTTCGAAGAGGCTCCTGGGCGAATACGTGTATATACCCGCCCCTGGGCTCTTCGCCCTCCTCGTCGCCGCCGAGGCGACACGGTCGGGAACTCCTGCGCCGCGTGCCGCGGCCGCGGCGCCGGCGGCGCGCCACATGCCCTGCGTGGGCGGAGCGCGTGGCGCTCCGCTCCGCGGAGGCGGGGAGCTCGGGAGAGCGCGGGACGTGCGCGCCTGGGGACCGCGGCGTGGACCGCGCCGAGGCGCGGTGGGCAAGCACCGGCGGAGCGGCGTGCCATCCAGAAGACCTTGGCCATACGGTCAACCCGTATGATGAGGAGGCGCGGTAAGGACGCCAAGGGCCTCGGAGGGCCACGTGAGCAAACACTCTTCGAGCGAGGCTGGCCAGCAACGGCGGCCGAGGCTGGAGCGAGGAGGCGAGGGGATGCACGGGCAGCCTCAGGACGCTCGCCCCTCCTTCCTATGTGGGTTGACCGTAGGGCGGGGACCGGCTCCGGGGGGGAAGCTGAGGGTTAGACGCATCTGCCCCTGAGCCTATCCCCTCGAACATTGCCCCGCCGCGGGGCCTGTAGGCTGACGGCGTGGAACATGACGCACTGCAAGATCACGATCTGGCGGTTCGCCCCCACCAAGCCGCCCGCCGCCGTCGCCAGTCCAGAGGGCTCCCAGATGGGGTCCGACCAGGTGGGGCCGAAGGGTCGCTCCGCATCGCCGATGCAGCGCCGATGCATCGCCGATGCGGAGCGGTCCTTCGGCTCCACCTGCTCGGACCCTCTTCTGTGGGCCTGGATGGTCGGCGTCGTCGATCGATCGACCGATCGATCGAGGCTTGCCGACGCTGCTCCAAAGTTCACCGCAAAGGCGCGAAGGGCAAGCCTGATGCCTCGGCGGTTGCTTCTCGAGGCGTGCCGCCGAACAAAACCTGGAACGGGGCGCTATCCAGCTTGAGAGCTCTTGAGTATTCCGTGGAGGGGTTCGCGAGACCTCCGCGGCAGGGGGCCGCCTCGGCACTCCGGCCGGGATAGCGCGCAGCACGGAGAGGACCGGGGCGTCGCCGTCGGTCACGAGCGGCGAACACATGGCCGCGCCCATGCTGTAACGTTGCCAGCTTGCGGCGGTCACACACCCCGCGTTGGCCTCGACCCTGTGACCCCACGATGCTGGTGTGAGCCTGCGTTGGCGCCGTGGCCTCACAGGGTGTGACCCCGTGCTGGCCATGGCCGCCGCTCCAGTACAGAGCCCACCTGACGCGAAGAAGATGGACGGCGCAGCATCCACATCCGCGACCTCGCGGCCTGGACTCTGGGGCGCGATCCCGCGGATCGGCGGTCGCACGGGTACGTTCCGCGCGGGGAATCCCCGACAAAGCGGCCCCGCAAATGCGTTACGCCCACGACTTAGAGGAACAGCCAATGTCATAAAGATAAATACTCTGAGGTCCGCGCGGATTTCTCGGATCGGCGCTGGACCCCCCTCCCTGCCGCCCGGAGCGCGCCAGCGCCGATCCGAAGAATCCGCGCGAGCCTCCGTGCTTTTATGTTCATGTTATTGTTCGGCCCCCGATGCAAAAGGCGTTTCGCCCACCGCCGGAAGGGCGCAACGCGGATCCAAGGAGTCCGCACGGAACGCCAATCAGTTGTGTTTATGGCATTATTCCGTCATCGACACCCGCCGCCGATCGATCGATCCACGGTCGCGGGTATTTTTCTGAACGCCCCTCGGCCCCAGGTTTTTTGGGCCCCACCTCCTCCTCCTCCTCCTCCTCCTCCTCCTCCTCGGACTCCTCCTCCTCCTCCTCGGACTCCTCCTCCTCCTCCTCCACATCCTCCTCCTCCTCCTCCTCCTCGTCCTCCTCGTCGTCCTCCTCCTCCTCGTCCTCCTCCTCCGCCTTCTCCTCCTCCTCCTCCTCCTTCCCCTCCTCCTCCCTCCTCCTCCTCCTCCTCCTCCTCCTCCTCCTCCTCCTCCTCCTCATCCCCCTCCCCAAGACCAGGCTGGTGCTGTCCTCCTCCTCCCTCCTCCTCCTCCTCCTGCTGTTCCTCATATTCCTCCTCCTACTCCTGCCTCCTCCTCCTCCTCCTCCTCCTCCTCCTCCTCCCCTCCTCCTCCTCCTCCTCCTCCTCCTCCCTCCTCCTCTCCTCCTCCCCCTTCTCCTCCCCTCTCCTCCCCCTCCTGCCCCTCCTCCCCCTCCCCTCCCCCTCCTCCTCCTCCTCCTCCTCCTCCTCCACCACCTCCCCCTCCTCCCCCTTCCCCTCCTGAGCCTCCTCCTCCTCCTCCTCCTGAACCTCCTCCTCCTCTTCCTCCTCCTCCTCCTGCTCCTGTTCCTCCTCCTCCTCATCCCGCGTCTCCGTCGACGCCTCAGCCGTCGAGTCGAGGACGGGGATCGGGCCGAGATATGTGGAGGCCTCCGGAAGGGTGTCCGAGTGAGCCAGACCACCGCCCAATGTCGCACCCAAAGGGAGGGTCTTTTTTATCATCCCTAAGTCTTGGCTCTGGGGAAGAAGATTCTTACAGGCCGCGGTCATCCCCTTCGGGGATCCGGCGATTCGTCGCCTTACGGCTGCTCCGATCCCTCGCTCACCGCCCGGGCCCGAGGCGGGATAAGAAGTTTCGGCCGTGGCTCCATGGGGAGCTACCTGCGTGGCGGCTCCAAGAGGGCCTCAGATGGTCCAGGATCACATCAGAAGCTCCGAAACACCTCGGGAGGGCCAAAGGGTGGCCCCCTGGGGGCCGAAAAGGGGGGGGGACACCTCGGGCACATGACACAAGCACACCGCCGGAGATCTGGCCTCCGCCCGGTGCCAGGGTGGAAAGCCGCCATCGCTCTCCCCGCCCCCTCCCCCCGCCGCCAGACATCCGCCGACATGATCTTCTCAGGCCGCGGCCCCATGGAAGTCCCGGCCCCTTCCCCGGGGGTGGACGTATCTAAAAATGATAGATGCGTTTAGATGCGATCGCGCCTTGGCGCAGGCGAGAAACCCATCGTATCTATTTTTCTGCAACGACGACAGTATAGATACAATTTTTAGAACGCGCCGCGGGCCTGCGCGGGAGCGCCGCCGTATCTAAACGTATTTGTTTCAAGCATATCTAAACATTTGGGACCGTATCTGCTTTCTTCCAGAAGCATATGAATATATGTATATATACATACATACATATACATACTTATATATATATATATATTCGTATATATGTTCAAAGAATGGCAGTGCCGCGCCGTGTGTATATATATATATGTATATATATATTCGTATCTAAGTGTTGTCACAACGACTGCAGCTGGCTGTGCTCCCAGCACGAACAAGATCCATAATATTGGTCGAAGCAATGAGCAACGGGATGAGGCAAGTGGGATGCCGTAGCGATGAGGAGTGATGAGGCGAGCGACGACGACAAAAAACGACGAGGAGTATGATGGATATCAACGACGAAACGAAATGTAGGAGAGAACTGGGTAGGAGCAGGGAACCGTATAATGGGGAGAGCAAAGAGGAGGAGGAGGAGGAGGAGGAGGAGGAGGAGGAGGAGGAGGAGGAGGAGGAGGAGAAGGAGTCGAGGAGGAGGTGGAGGAGGAGGAGAGGTTTGGTATAGTTGGTTTGGTAGGTATGACACAGTATGGCATGATATGGTAAGTATGGTATGGTATAGTAGGTTTGGTATGGTCTGGTGGGTATGGTATGGTAGGCGTGGTGTGGTATGTATGGTATGGCAGGTCGGCGTGGTATTGGTATGGTATGCATTGAGATGGTCAAATAGGTAGGCGGGAGAAGGAGAAGGAGGAGAAGGAACATGAGAGGGTGTCTAGGAAAACAAAGACCCACTCAGGATGCGGGGAACATGAACCCCACTCAGTATGTGGCCAAAGAAAAGAAGATGAGCACCGAGGAGGGCGGATGAGGAGGATCCAAGAGGAGCGAGGAGCGAGAATGATCGATCGTGGGCGTGCGCAGGAGACAGGGCGCCGTATCTATTCGTATCTATGTTTGGTATAGATGTTTTCAGCGATGGGCGCCATGTTGCACCGTACCTAAACATATCTAAGCATATCTACTGCATTATTATATAAAGATGACCCCGTATCTAGCATTTGGAAGAAAACATACCTTCCGTACCTAAACGAGTAAGAAATCGGATCTAGACTCCTATGTTTGAAGCATATCTGTTCGTATCTGTTTTTCTGCACGGAAGCGCTGTAAACCGCATATGAGTCAGGGAGGACTGTTAGATACCATGCGGTCCTTCCGGATGCAGCTGCCGCTGGGGAGATGAGCAACCAACATAGATGTTTAGACGTGTCTTCCAGGGTGATGGTCCCCACGGGCCCCGGAGGCCAGGGCCCCGGAAAAAAAACGCCGGGTTGAAAACATCATGTATCCTCGGATCTCTGGGCTCCCCTCTCCACATCCTTCTCCTCCTTCTCCTCCCTTTCCTCCTCCTCCACCACCTCCTCCTCCTTCTCCTCCTCCTCCTCCTCCTCCTCCTCCCTCCTCCTCCTCCCCTCCTCCTCTCCTCCTCCTCCTCCTCCCCCCTCCTCCTCCTCCCCCTCCACCTCCTCCTCCTCCTCCTCCTCCTCCTCCGCCTCCTCCTCCTCCTCTCCTCCTCCTCCTCCTCCTCCTCCTCCCCCTCCTCCCCCTCCTCCTCCTCCTCCTCCTCCTCCTCCTCCTCCTCCTCCTCCTCCTCCCTCCTCCTCCTCCTCCTCCTCCTCCCCCTCCTCCTCCTCCTCCTCCTCTCCTCCTCCTCCTCTCCCCTCCACCTCCTCCTCCTCCTCCTCCTCCTCCTCCTCCTCCTCCTCCTCCTCCTCCTCCTCCGTAGCCATTTTGGCTCAAGATGGGTTGCTCGGGGGCTTTCAGCCTCCGTGCTTCACTGGATCGCACTACCGTGCGCAGGCAAGAGTGTGTGCACTCTGGCAGTCGGGCGGCCTCCTTCCAAACTCACGCGCGCCATGGCGGGGAGCGGCGGCGTGGGTGCTGGGCGTGGGGGAGGCGGCCGTGCGGCGTGGCCTGCGAAGTGGAAGTGCTCGGTGTGCGACTACTACAACTTCGCCGAGAGGACGTGCTGTCGCAAGGGGTGCCAACCTGCGGGGTGGCCAGCGCCGCGGCAGCTGGGCGCCTTTCCTCCGCTGCGTGGGTGGCATGCAGGCGGCGGCGGTGGTGGTGCTCCTGGCGGCGCTGGCGGCGGGTTCGGCGGGCGTGGGGCTGGCGGCGGCAAGCCTCCCACTCGTGCCCCGTGGTGGCGTGGTGGAGAAGGTGGCGGCCGTGACGCTGGAGGCGCCGTGGTGCTCAGCGAGGAGCAGCGCTGTGGCTTCGTGTGCATGGCAGAGGCCGACTTCGCCCTCGCCGCCGCGCTCCTGCCCCCGAAGGTCCGCGAGCAGCTGCTGCAGGCGCGGAGGCTGCGTGAGGGCGGGCTGGGGGCCGAGCTGTCCAAGGACAAGACGGTCAAGGCGGCCCAGGTGCTGGCGGACGCCAAGGTCGTGCAGGTCAAGAAGATGGAGGGCCAGCTGGAGCAGGCGAAGGCCAAGGCGGTGGCTGCCATCAACGAGTCGGCCTGCCTCGCGGACAAGTTGGTGCTGCTGCGGAAGGAGTGCGACGAGGCGGCGGCCAAGGCACGGGAG